TAGTCTCTAAAACAGTAGTATTTGAAGAAATTAGTCTCTAAAACCGTAGTCTCTGAATAAAGTAGTGACTAAAACCGTAGTTTCTGAAGAAAGTAGTCTCTTAAAACGTAGTCTCTGAAGAAAGTAATCTCTAAAACCGTAGTCTCTGAAGAAAGTAGTCACTAAAACCGTAGTCTCTGAATAAAGTAGTGACTAAAACCGTAGTTTCTGAATAAAGTAGACACTAAAACCGTAGTTTCTGAAGAAAGTAGTCTCTAAAAACGTAGTATCTAAAGAAAGTAGTCTCTAAAACAGTAGTATTTGAAGAAATTAGTCTCTAAAACCGTAGTCTCTAATAAAGTAGTCAATAAAACCGTAGTCTCTGAATAAAGTAGTGACTAAAACCGTAGTCTCTGAATAAAGTAGTCTCTAAAACCGTAGTCTCTGAATAAAGTACTCTCTAAAACCGTAGTCTCTGAAGAAAGTAGTCTCTAAAAACGTAGTCTCTGAAGAAAGTAGTCACTAAAACCATAGTTTCTGAAGAAAGTAGTCTCTAAAACCGTAGTCTCTGAAGAAAGTAGTCACTAAAATCGTAGTCTCTGAAGAAAGTACTCTCTAAAACCGTAGTCTCTGAAGAAAGTATTCTCTAAAACCGTAGTCTCTGAATAAAGTAGTCTCTAAAACCGTAGTCTCTGAAGAAAGTAGTCTCTAAAACCGTAGTCTCTGAAGAAAGTAGTCAATAAAACCGTAGTCTCTGAAGAAAGTAGTCTCTAAAACCGTAGTCTCTGAAGAAAGTAGTCTCTAAAACCGTAGTGTCTGAAGAAAGTAGTCTCTAAAACTGTAGTCTCTGAAGAAAGTAGTCTCTAAAACCGTAGTCTCTGAAGAAATTAGCCTCTATTCTCTATTAGCCTCTAATTGAAGATGTGTTGATAACGGGCTTGTTTTGAAACGGTACATGTTCACAACTGAAGATGTGTAGATAACGGGCTTGTTTTGAAACGGTACATGTTAACAACTGAAGATGTGTAGATAATGGGCTTGTTTTGAAACAAGGTAAAGTCAACCAGATACATCGGTTTCAGCAAAATAAAGTCAACCACATTCATCGATTTCAAAAATATAAAATCAACCCAATCCTTCTTTTGTAAACTTCTTTATCTATTTGTTCGACAGGGAATAATCAAATATTTTTTTATTTAATCCGAAAAGTCAACAGCACAAAACATTCAAAAACTTACCATTTTCTTCACAGATTTTCCCGCCTAACAGAACACTTAGCCTCTCGTTCGTGCAGCCACAGATCTCAATGCTGGTGTTCCAGAAACAGTCGTCAAAGCAATCCTAAGTAAAGAAGTAAAAGAACATGGAATTATAAAAATACGAGTTCCACATCACAGATTAATCTATTTGTTTGTTTTGGAGTAAAGCCACATTGGGATATCTGTTATGTTCACCGCGGGGAATCGAACCCCAGATTTAATATTGGAAGTCCATATACATACCGCTGTCCCACATGTAGTATGTCCGCCTAAGTAAACCCACTTCATATGTCATAAACATGTAGTATGTCTACCTAAGTAGACCCACTTGATTATGTCATAAACATATAGTATGTCCGCCTAAGTAAACCCACTTCATTATGTCATAAACATATAGTATGTCCGCCTAAGTAAACCCACTTCATTATGTCATAAACATATAGTATGTCCGCCTAAGTAAACCCACTTCATTATGTCATAAACATGCAGTATGTCCGCCTAAGTAAACCCACTTGATTATGTCATAAACATATAGTATGTCCGCCTAAGTAAACCCACGTCATTATGTCATCAACATGCAGTATGTCCGCCTAAGTAAACCCACTTCATTATGTCATAAATATGTAGTATGTCCTCGAAGTAAACCCACTTCATTATGTTATAGACATGTATTATGTCCGCCTAAGTAAACCCACTTCATTATGTCATAAACATATAGTATGTCCGCCTAAGTAAACCCACGTCATTATGTCATCAACATGCAGTATGTCCGCCTAAGTAAACCCACTTCATTATGTCATAAACATATAGTATGTCCGCCTAAGTAAACCCACGTCATTATGTCATCAACATGTAGTATGTCCGCCTAAGTAAACCCACTTCATTATGTCATAAACATATAGTATGTCCGCCTAAGTAAACCCACTTCATTATGTCAT